TACATGTGATTTTGGGAGAGGGGCAGAGGGAGAGAGAGAATCTCAAGCAGACTCCACACTGAGCACGGAGCCCGGCATGGGGCTTGATCCCATGACCCTGAGATCGTGACCTGAGCCAAAATCAAGAGCCAGTCACTTAACCGACTGAGCCACCCAGGTGCCCCAAGTTTTATTCACTTTTAACTTTTTAAAGGGACAATTATAAAAATTTACAAAAGCAGAGAGAGTCGTGTAATGACCCCTCATGTACTCATCCCCCAGCTTCAACCACGCTCTGCTGGGGGCGAGTCTGTCTGCCCTGGCGCCCCTGTTCTCTGCCTTTCCACCTACACCCCAAATTCTGATGCAGAACGCAGACCTCATATAGTTCATCTGCAAATAGTTCCTTGGTTCTCTCTAAAAGGTAGGAATTCCTTTGAAAAGAAACCATGTTATCGTCCTTGAAAAATGACCACAGTTCCTTAATATCCTCAGCATTCTAGTCCAAGTTTACATTTCGTTAATTATCTCATGAGGGGATCTTGTCAGCCGTTGGTTTGAATTGGACTCCACGTAAGGTGTGCGCTTTGCACTTGGTTGATTCATCTTTTTCAGTCCACAGGTCTCCTCTCCACTTGATTTTTCATGTGTGATTTATTATTTAAAGAAAAGGAAATGCTTTAAAATTTCTTTTGAATACTACATCATTTCACAAGGGGAGAGATTATTTTCAGAAATGACATTGTTTTGCAGAAAATGGCAAGATGAATTGTTGAATTGTGCTTGGGATTTAAGTAAAATGGATGAATGAAGGAGGAAAACGGAACTTAACCTGATAGGAGAATATAATTAGCAAAAAAAGGGGAAAAAAAGGCACATACTGAGAAATACTGTGTGACTCCCCTTAGGTTATAAAAATCAGTGGATAAGAGCGTTAAAGGGCTCACCCCGGGGTCTGTTCAATGCAGTCTGGACATCCGACTGTTCCTTTATGCTGTGTGGAGAAGGCTGGGACAGACTTTTAAAAGGGAGGGTATTGAAGGCTCCAAGCCAGCTTTGTGAAGCAATAGTAATTTTGCTTGAACAGTGGCTTGAACATCGTAGATTTTATCAGATGAGTAGCATTTTATGATGTGGACAAAACATAATTGCTTGTTTAATGGGCTTCTATTTCTCTCCCCTGGGTCATTGTTAATGAGAGATGGTGTGTTTTCAGAAATGACATCAAGTTAGCCGTGATGGACTGGATTTCTGTCAAGGCATGTACTGTATAGGAAGAGGGAGAAAGCAAATGTAAAACAGTAGTAATAACTCCCATTTATTCAGAGTCCATGTGCTGATCATTTCTCTGCCTGTCCCCTCTGCACGCACACACGCATGCACACAAAGGTATAGGAGTTTTTAATCTTTTACCAGGGCCTTTAATGGTACCGTCTTCATTTTATAGTTGCTAAAACTGAGGCTTATTGAGATGAAACGATTCACCTAAACCTTTGCAGCTCAGGTTTGCATTTGGCATGCCTCTGGATTCCATGCTTTTCCACGGGGCCTCCCAAACAAGGAAGTTTGTAAGGAAGAGAGCTCCTTTTACCGTCGGGTAATGGAGGTGGAGACCAATGTGGCACTGGTGGGGAGCTAGATGCCGAGAGACCGTGGCCTGGGGAGCCTGCTTCTCCCTCTTCTCCCCACTCGTGCTCTCTCTCTCTCTCTCTCTCTGTTACTATCTCGGTCTCTCTCTCTCAAATAAATAAATAAAATCTTAAAAAAAAAAATCCAGAGCTGGTTTCGAGGATGTCCAGTTCGAGCATCTAACAGGCATTTACACAGAGTAGCAACAATTATTCCAAAAAGGGGGAGAAGTCCTGAGGCAGACAGCATTATCAACTAATTGTTGTGTTTGCACGTTGTACCACAAGGAAGAGTCTCGTCACCGCAGTGGCTGCCGGGAGTGAGTGGCCAAAGAGGCCAGCGTGTGGTCCCTGTACCTTCGTGGTGTCCACTTCTGAAGATTTCAACCCTAACTGGGTACCAGTAGCTGAGGTTTTCCTTCTCATACTTACACATCTGCCTTTTCTGTTCATAAGCCACCAGGTAACCCTGGTCAGCGTAATGGCCCTTTAAATATGGGTGGCTGTGCATGTCCAGGAGGAAGGATTTTTTTTTTTTTAAAGATTTTATTTATATGAGAGAGAGCACTAGAGGGGGGAGGGCCAGAGGGAGAAGCAGACTCCCTGCTGAGTAGGGAGCCCGATTCGGGACTCCATCCTGGGACTCCAGGATCATGACCTAAGCCGAAGGCAGTCGTTTAACCAACTGAGCCACCCAGGTGCCCCAAATTCTTCTTAGAAGAATTTCTAAGAGTAATAGATAAGTACTGACAATCTATACGGCCGATAACATTCAAGACAGATACACAGGGGCGCCTGGGTGGCTCAGTCATTAAGCGTCTGCCTTCGGCTCAGGTCCTGATCCCAGGATCCTGGGATCGAGCCCCACATTGGGCTCCCTGCTCTGCGGGAAGCCTGCTTCTCCATCTCCCACTCCCCCTGCTTGTGTTCCCTCTCTGGCTGTGTCTCTGTCAAATAAATAAAATATTAAAAAAAAAAAAAAAGACAGATACACATGCGCCCAAATCATGAACAGCATTTTCACATACAATAGAAAAGTAAACTTGCCTTAATTTGCCTCCTACCACCAAGCCAGTTGCAAATGATATGTTTGACATTGACCCCTAACATGACAAGATAAATTATATTCAATTGCCTAAGAGGCTAAGGGAGCATTCCTGAAAAGAAGGGAATTAAATTTATTTGTAGCCTGAATAGATGTCACTTTTTAAATAATGAATAAATTATGTGATTTTTTAAAAAATATTTATTAGAGAGAAGGAGAGAGAGACAGGACGAGCAGGGGGTAAGGCAGAGGGAGAGGCAGACTCCTTGCTGAGCAGGAAGCCTGACAGGGGGCTCAATCCCAGGACCTGGAGATCATGACCCGAGCCAAAGGCAGACGTGTAACTGACTGAGCCACCCAGGTGCCGTTTGGACATCAACTCTTTTTTTTTTTTTTAAATTTTATTTATTTGACAGAGAGAGACACAGTGAGAGAGGGAACACAAGCAGGGGGGAGTGGGAGAGGGAGACGCAGGCTTCCCGCCGAGCAGGGAGCCCGATGCGGGGGCTCGATCCCAGGACCCCGGGACCATGACCTGAGCCGAAGGCAGCCGCTTAACGACTGAGCCACCCAGGCGCCCCTGGACATCAACTCTTGATGTCCAAAACAGACCCAGGCCAGTGCTGGGCTGCTTCTTTGCATGACCTTGCATTTCTGGTGATAGCTCAGCCCTTTCTATTCCCCCACGTTCGAACATCTCTGCAGAGAAGCAGGTATTGGGATGGTGGCTGCCATTCAGTGTTTTCTCCAGGGACTGATGCTTTTGCCAAAACCACATTCGACACGACCTGTGTGTGGGCCGTGTTCCCGGGCACTGCTGCTGGGCACACACACTCTGGTTGGGAAGGGGGACCTGCAGGGCGGGCTTGATGTTTATAAACATGACTGTTAGTGTTCAGCTGCTGCATGGCATGGGGACGTGGAGTCAGGGCCTCTGGTGCTCCTTCCCTCCTTGACAGAAAAGGACGTAGTCAAGAGTGGAGTCCTGTCCCCAGCGTTGTCACTGTGGACACGTCCTGTTACCTGCCTGGGTCTGCTGTCTACTGCAAATGCAGACGTTGGGTCAGAAGATTTCAAAGAGGTTTTGCGGCAGTTCTGAAATGCCATCTATGACTGTGTTTAGGGTTGGTAAAGTCTTTAAGACCCCAGAGGACCGCCTGATGAGTTAGGAGAGCCTTCGCTTATCTCCTCTTGGAATTCACGTGTCAGTGCATGGGCTGCATACGTAGTAGAAAAGCTCTGGCCTTTGGATATCTTGGGTAGTAACTCGGGGTGTCTGTTTCCTTTCTTATTAAATGGGGGAGGTATGGGACTATCGTCAAGACTGTGGGCAGTACCTGTAGAATACAGACATGCCAGGGTTTTGATAAATGGTGGCTATTATTATTATTCTAGCCCCTTTCTTTAAATTCATATATAATATAAGGATTTCTTCTTATAGCCACCCCCAAACCCTGGAAGAAAAAAAAAACAAAAAAGGGCAACATTTCTCATGTTACATACATTACTAACAAGTAGGTGTATTAAACTAGATCTAATTGAAGTTAACAAGTCGTTGAGCAGAAAACATTTCTGAAATAAAATGGGAAGTCAGGAAGTAATCACATTTAGTAACATCGTTTTGGGCTGATGACCTACTCAAAGTGAAGTTGTAGTTGAGTTATAGAACATAATTTAGGGACCACCTGGTTGAATTCCAAGGCCCTGGAGGCAGACAGCTGTGGATTGAACCTCAGTCTCTCTATTTACCAGCTGTGCGGTTTTGGTTCATTGAACCTTACAAAGCTTCAGTTTCTTCATCTTTAAAATGGAGATGATCATCCTCATAAGGTGTTTCTTAGGATGAAAGGCAATAATGATTTTACAGCACCTTATTGCTAGAGACATCACAAGCATTCTACAAATGTTAGAATCATATGGAAGAGATATTAGCTCTTAATTTTAAGAGCAGCCAATTTTGGGTAGAATCACATCCATAAAATGAGACACGTAGAGAGGCATTTGAGTCTATAACTTCCATTATTTGAGTTGATATTTGTCTAGGTGCTCTAACATAGTACATTTTACATAAATTACCAATAAAAATATTGTTCTAACATAAGCGATGTATCATGTGACATTTGCCTATTATCTTTTGCCACTTGAAGACATTTTAGCATTTTTAGGCAATACATATTTGAAGGTATAGCATTGATAAATTCAAGTTTAATATTTTCCACGTAGATCGCTTGAGCTCCTCTTGGATGCTCACAGGCTTATAGTTTCTCTTCATATTTACTACATTTCTGCCAACTTGGACATTTTCTTTTCCAATAACCTTGACGGTTGTAGAATAATTATGGTTTTATCTTCAGTTTTTTTTATCTCTCAATTGGGGTAACTTTTACTCACCTATGACCTAAGAGGAAAAAATGAGTACAAAAGAGGTATATGAGGCTAATCAAAATATGGAGAATAACTTTAATGATACTTCTGTGTGTGTAGACATAGAGGTCATCAAGTCTTAACTAACTTTGATGTTTTAAATTCACTTTTAATTTTAAATACACTTTTAAATATACTTTTCAGTAACCACTTGGGGCAGCATGATGAGAAAGGAAGAATAAAAGGCTACAAATTGAGAGGAGCTTGGTTCAGATTGCCCCCATTCCATTTAACAGCTGACAGTCCTTAGACCATTATGTAACCTGGTCTCAGTTTCCTCACCTGTGAAATGGGGCTAATACTTTGCGGCGTGTGAAGATTAGAGATCATCATTATCAGGCATCCAGGCGTGCCAGGCTTGGTGCATAAGTCTTACCATCAAGGAGCTGGGGAGAGAACTGTGCACACATGTATAGATTATGAAGCAGAATAAGGTGGGCCCTTCATGAGAAATACCAAGTCTTGGGAATCCAGTAAAAGAGGGATGACTTGTGATTTGGGAAACTCAGGGATGGTTTCATGGAAGAGAGTGAGCTGGGTCTGGAAGGATGGGTGAGGTACTGACAGGCCATGATAGGAAGGCCAGTCCCGGAAGAAAAGTTAGGATCAGGGCCTGGAACTCCCGCTGTTTGACTCTGGGATCCAGCCCTCCTTGGCCCCCAGGCCTCATAACTGCCTGCCATAAACCATCGACAGTCTGCTCCGTGGTATTTCTTCTGAAGTCTCCACCATCACCAAAGGGCACTTGGTAGGTTTCTGGCTTGGTGGCTTCAAAGCAGCATAGCCATTTCTTGGCTTTCCCTCTGGTCTGTGTATCTGCTTTGTAGTGAAAACGATTATAGACAAAATAGTTGGTTAAATGTTACTGAGATGTAACCAATGTTAGAATACCTTCTGCTCATTGGGAAGACTGGAAATATATGCTCAACTCAGGCTCTTCCCTTTCACCAAACCAGAAAACTGTGGTTAGGAAATTAACCTGACTCGGGTTTTCACTTTATAATCTTTGAAATGTTTTTTTTTTTTTTCTCTCTGAGGCTTATCCATAAATAGTTTGCCGTGTCAACAACACACTCAAAGTCCTACTACTAGGCTTGGAGCGAGTCCATTCCTTATTCCCTAACTGTGCTAAATGCAAGGGTGGATTTGAAGTGCCTTCTGTAGAGAATGGCTAAGATTGCTTTGCTACAGCCTGGTGCTGTTTTGAGAAGGAAAACAAAGCAACATAAGATCAAGGCATCAAAACTAAGAACACTTGGCAAGGACTGTCAGCAGTGAATCGAGGCCAAGTAAACAGTGTGGGTGTGGGTGGGGGTGGAAGGCTGAGAGCCTATTTCAGGATGGCCTGTTGTTTTTCATGGAAACCAAAAAGCAAGAGATGGTGTTGACTTCTGAGCTCAGCAAAGAAGTAATGTGAAATAATGAATTTTCATGATTGAGCAATTGCTGCCTTTCATTTATTGCCATCCAGTTAAGCTCTGAGCGTGCAAGGAATTCCGTGTGCCTTTGTGGGCTCTCAGGGTATGGGTGAGGATGAAGATACTCTCTTTCCCTTCTCCTTGTGGTGGTGTGCTTTGCATGTTGTGATTCACACTGTGAATGAGGTCCCACTGTTGGTTTGACCAGAATATATGTATCTGGTACATAACAGTTGATTTGTGTCCTTTTCCTACGTATAGAAGGTGTTTGTCCATCTGTTTGATTGTCACGGCATCCTTGAGCTTAGCCATTCTTGTCTCTCCACATTTTGCCGAAGAGGAAAAAGAGGCTTTAGGGAGGTCAAAAGGGTTGCTTGTCATGGACATTTCCAACATGCTTTCTCCCCGGATTGGCCAGAGTAGAGACCAAGAGGTGAGGGCTCGTTTGTAGAAAGGTGTTGTTGTGTATTCTGGGTTGATGCTTGAGAGGTGTGGTTGATAACATGCTCCCCAAAACTCTGCTTGTCTGTGCCAGGAGCCTCAGAGCTTCGGGTAGAACTTGATAGATTCCCACCTCTTCTCCTCCGGGCTTATTCTTTGTGGCTTTGAGTTTTACCTGGCTTGCATGGAACTTTCTTAGTTCAGCTGGTTGGATCAGTGTCCCTTGAACACACTGTTACTTCCCTTCTGTTTTTCCTGCCAGACTGTTCTTTCAGCTCTTGTTTCTTGTACAATTCTTGGCTGTCACTCTGTCACCTTGCCTTACATTTGAAGACAAGGGTCAGGTGTTAACCCTTCTGCGAGGGTGAGAGGGTGAGGCTGAGATCAGCAAACTGGCTGGTTAAGACACACTTGTTCTTTGAGAAACTAAGTCCCGGGGCTTCCCAGGCCACGGGTGAGCTGCCAACTCTCACCAGTAGCCCTGGCACCAGCATCCAGATGCTCACTTGCAGCTGCAACCTGACGTTCTCAGTGGGCATCTCGGCTTGACCATAATAACCAAGATCTCAGCTTGCCTGCACGGTCTCCTCCAGCTCCGTAAATGGCGAGCCTATTCTCCTTTCTCCCGTGGAGGACAGGACATCGTTCCGTTTCCACCACCACAACGGGCACCCACTCATCAGCAGGTCCTACAGGCTCCACCTTTGAATTTTCTCCAGAACGTGCCCACTGCTCTCCTTGTCTCCTGCTCCCACTCTGGGTCTAGCCGCTGTCTTCTCTCACCTACATTAATGCAGTCCCGTCCTCATGTGTGCCCTGCTTCATTCACCCTTTGCTCTCTACCATCTCTGTTCCACAAAGAGGCAAGAGGGATTTCTGAAAAACCGAAGCCACATCCCCTCTCTGTGTCACTGGGAGTGAAACCCATGGCCCCCCCTTCTTATCTCTGCTCTTGCTCTCCCTGTTCTTTACTCACTCTCTCCAGCTCCACTAGCCTCCCTGCTAGTTCTTGAACACGTTGGGCACGTGTCTGCCCTGCGCCGTCTGCACTTGCTTGTTCCTGCGTGTGGAATGCGTTTCGGGTCCGCGCAGGCGCCCTTGCCTCTCTGCGAAAGCCCCTCTGTTTAGAGCCCTTCTCGACCCCTGTGTAGGATTTTTTCCCTGCCCCTCTGTCCCCTGAGCCAGCTTATTTTTTCTTCTTAGTCCTTAGGACTAATTTTTCATATTGTCAGTCTCCCTCTATGGAAACTCAAGGGATTTTGTCTTTTTACTACCAAATTCATTGTGCCCAGAATAATGCCAGACATCTAGTCAATGTTCAACAAACATCAGTTAAGTTGGTGAAATGCATGAACACTGTGGGAAAGGCTGCAAAACAGAAGCAAAAAGCCCTGAGTTTTTTGGGAAAGGTTCAAGGTTACCATTTAGTCACTTTGAAATAGATCTGTCGCTGTTGATCACAGATGTGCATGAAGAACCAGTGCTGAAAGTCCCAGATGACAGGAGAACACGTTTTAAATCTCTCCCCCCCCCACCCCTTCTTTCTGTCTCCATGCAGGATTTGCAGCTTTTGGAGGATGGAGATTTAACTGTGATAGGCGATCGGGGAGCCACGCTGAGCGGAGGGCAGAAGGCCCGGGTCAACCTTGCAAGGTCCCCACAGTTTGGTTGCACGTGCTCTGTGTGCTGCTCCCGGGGGGTGGCTGTCCCGAGACCACCTGCTGCGTGGCAGGGAGGGAGAGGGGTGCGTTGTGGGAAGCCCCACATTATTCCATTGGCTCTTGGAGTGAACGTGCCCTGAGTTGTTGAAGGCTGTCATGACTGGGAGATGAGATCCCGGGAGCCTGGAGCATTCTCCCGTCTGATGTTGTCTTCTGTTTTCCAGAGCAGTGTATCAGGATGCAGACATCTACCTCCTGGACGACCCTCTCAGCGCAGTGGATGCAGAAGTTGGCAGGCACTTGTTTGAACTGTGAGTTTGCCCGTGTTTGTCATTTCTGTTTTCTATGCCCCCTGTAGCGTTTGGGGAAAAGAGCTCAGGGAAGCTGGGATGATTTGGAAGACTCTGCCTGTTCTGCTGAGGTCTCCCTCCTCCTCCTCCCTTCCCTCCACGGAAGATCCATTTCAGAGAAATTTTTAGAGAGAAAAAGGAAGACCTAGATGGTGCTCACTGTGTGTGGCGTGAGTGGAGGACATGCTTGAGGGGGTGAGGGCACGATGGCAGATGTCCCCTTGCTCCTCGCCATGGATAACCAAGACACTGTTGATGGGATAAGAAAGCCGATGTGCAGTTTTTAAATCGAAGAATGGGACTCGGTAACGTGATACTTGGCTCCCAGTTCTTTTCCTTCATCATTTTTGTTGGTGGCACATTAGATGTGCAGTGTTTCTTGTGCCAACGTATCGCTTCTGTGGAGCGGCCTCACTGCTTTGTGCGAATTACCCTGCAGGTCAGGAAACACTTAAAGTCTAGAATTGAAGAAGGCCTTATTCACAGTATGGCTTCCTGGATTCTTATTAGAATTAATACGTCAGGCCCCCACATGGAGGGTTAACGTGAATTTGAAACTACATATCTGGAATCTAGCTCACCTCCTGACTCTGACTTTGTGTTTCTGGAATTTGTTTTCATTGGCTCTTGCTTCGTCGCCACACGACTGAAGTAGGACAACTCTGAATCTTCTCTGTACAGACTGTTAGCCTAACATACGTAACTTGTGCTCCCTGCGGAGTCCAGACTGCCATATTTGGAAGCATCATGAATTCGCTCTTGTTTCAATGGCGTCCATGTCTACCCCATAGTTACCTTACTGTTGTTCACCTTGTCAAAGCCAGTGAGCGCTTTCCATGCACTTCCTGAAGCCCTGATGTGTGCACTGAGGTCAGTGTTCTTGCAAATGATGTTGCACAAAACATCTCCATTTACAAAGGAGGACTTAAACCAGAGAGATAGATTTTTCCCCCAGGCCTGGAGGCTGCAAGTTTGGCACCTTGGTTTCTCCTGAGACCTCTCTCCTTGGCTGGCTGATGGCCTCCTTCTTACTGTGTCCTCACATGGTCTCACCTCTGTGTGCGCGCACCCCTGGTGGCTTTCTCCTCATGGCCTTTTTTTTTTTTAAAGATTTATTTATTTGAGAGAGAGTGCATGTACATGTGATTTTGGGAGAGGGGCAGAGGGAGAGAATCTCAGCAGACTCCCCAAAGTGGGGCTCGATCTCACGACCCCTGAGACCATGACCTGAGCTGAAATCAAGTTAGGTGCTTAACCGACTGAGCCACCCAGATGTCCCATCTCCTTATGTCCTAATCTCTTCTAAGGATACAGGTCAGATTGGGTAAGGGCTCACCATCACGGCCTCATTTTTTAACTTAATTGCCTCTTTAGAGGTCCTGTCACCAAATTCTAAATTCCTGGGGATTAAGGCATCAATGTGGGAATTTTGGGGGTGGGGGTGGGGAGACACAATTCATTTAAAGTCCTAAGTAGCAAAGTAAAGAGATTTTAGCAGGGTTAGCGTGAGGCAGCTCTGGGCTCCGCATACTAGGAGCCTGGGACTCAGTGTCCCCTCAGTGTGGGTTCCTAACGCGGAACCCCCCCCACCCCCCGAGTGTGTATGTACGAAGTGCTTAGGTTTGGCATGACAACAAGCTCTGGAGAAGGTGGTGGTGATGGTTACACAATAGTGTGGGTGTCCACAGTGCCCCTGAGATACAGCTTAAAAATGGTTAAAATGGTAAATGTTCTACCAGTTTTACCACAATCTAAAGAAAAAGCGCATAGCAGCAGTGACTCTTTGAGAACGCGGAGAGCTGAGCAGCTAACACTTGACATGGCCTCCGGCTCTTTGATCTGACCCCTCTTCCCGTCCCGTCCCGTCCCGATCACGATCACGACTTGAGGAATTTTCCCTCAGGGAAGTGCCCTGTGGCTTGTGACTGAGTTCAGGGACAGGGCCCAGTGCTGTGACAGAGATTCCCCACCCCACACCCTGGGTGGTGCCAGGAGCAGCCCAGCCTCCCTACCCCTAGAGCCTCACCCTGAAGTCACGAATGTGTGTCACCCCATCCTGGGTGGGTGTGCACAAGTTCTCCATCACTCCAAGAACAGATTCCACTGGCCGTTGTGTTTGTGTCACTTGGGAGGCGAGAGGTGTTTTCATTGCCGAGGGTCAGTGTGCTTATCGCAGAAGCTCCCCCAAGTTCTTCTCTGAACACGGGAGGTATTTATAAAGTCCTCTCGCACCTTTCGGGTTTAATGGCTTTGGGTATACACTTGATAGAAGCAAGCTTGTTAAAATTGTTGTTTGCTAATCAGAACCGCATCCTTTGGGGAAACTTAGGGCAGGGAGCACGAATGCAATTTAGGAAACTACTCAGCAGCAGCTTGAGAATGTTCTCAACGAGCTAGAAAATTGGACTGAACAATATGCTCTGAAAGATGGCGGTTGTGTTGAGCTCAGTAATGTGAAGTGTTTTGTATTAAAAGTGAATGAATTACACTTCTACTCGCCATTAACAGTTTACTTCAGTCGTGAATATATATCCAAGGTTATTAAGGTTTGCGGGTTTTACAACTATATGTTGTAAACATTTACGTGGATTCTGTCTCATGCAGAGGGTCGGAGGCCCTCAGGTGAATGGGTTTCAGTCTAACTGGTTTTAGCGGTGGAGCCTGTCCTATTTTAGGAAGCCCCTTCCCCCACACCCCCACGTCCTGCATAATCAGTTCTTTGAGTCTGTCCTTACTGGATCTCCCCACCCTGCTGCCTCCTACGTTCACTTTCGCTGTTGCAGGCCTTCGCAGACGCCCTTTGCGTGCAGGGAGCAGCTCCACAGCCTCAAAAGCCGACTGAGGTTCTTTGCCGTCTGCCCCATCCCCTGTTCCAGCACATCCTCGCCCTGTGCCCTTCTGTCTGCCCACAGCCCTTGGGGCGCGTACTTGGTCACTGATGAGTTCTCCCCACCGCCAACTCCAGGGTGAATGCACGAAGGCACCTTTGTGCAGAGGGTTTCTGTCCCCAGTTGTACCTTCTGTCCCCAGTTGTACCTTCTTGCAGGGATGCTCCCCCCTAGATACTCTCGTGGTCCATGTGTCCCCAACACCCAGGATCGCAGCCCTCACCTTGCTTTTTCTTCATGGCAGACATCACGCCCCTAGGGTACATTTTCTGTATTTGTTGAATGTGCCCCCCTCCACGTGATGCAGAGTGTTCGTGGTTTTCTGGTCCTGTGGCTGTGTCCTCTTTACTAAGACAGTGCCTGGCACCCCAACAAATGTCTGTCAGTGGAACGAGTGAGGGTAGTGACTGTCTTACTTGTATCCCCTCTACCACAGTACAAGGCCCCTCTTAACACCGACCTTACACAGGTTAAAAGTTCAATAACTTGTTACTGAATCATTCTTTTTTTTTTTTTTGATGGCATGACTTGGAAATTTTTACTCTTAAAAATTTGGCAAATAGAGTATTTTCCTGGAGATTTTGGTTAAAAAGCGTGATTTAGAAAAAATTTAAAGCCATCACCTAATAACTTCATTGTACTTATATTCCTCTATCTGTGGTGGATGTTAGGAAGAAAACATTTTAACACTTTTGCATTGGCCCAGCTCAGACATAGCAGCGCATCAGATTTGGTTAACAGCCCCTTCAGGGACTGCCAGCACAGAATTTTGAATGAAGGAGAAACAATTCCATTAAGTGCTTTAGTGCTAAGCTGGAAGAGGGGTTTACTTGGTCAGCAAACTTAGGAATGAAAGCCACACCAGGACCTGTCAAAAGGGAAACAATCCTTCTGGATGCAAAGAATGGAATAATAGTATATACATCTACAGCCTGGAGTCTTCCGATCTCAGGCCCAGTCTCAGAAATGTCTCCTTAGGAACTTTTCTGTCCTGAGTCCAAAGCAAAGGGCCACTTGTGGGTTAGGGAAGAGGGTGAACAGACCATTTACCAAGCGGATTAGTGCCCTTCCCACAACGTGCCCTATGAGTTGTCAGCGGCCTTATTTTGCAATGAAGGCACTGAGGTTCATAGAGGTCAGGTAGCTCACCTGACCTTGTCAGGCTGGTAAGAGTTCTGGGTGCCTCCAGAACTCTTGATCTGACCCACATGAGCAGGTGGAGTTGTGGCCCATGTTGCTGAGATTGGCTCTGCAGGGGGCTCAGGTGCCCAGAGAATGTCCCTGCGCCTAGAGAACGTCCCTGCACGCAGAGAATGTCCCTGTGCCCAGATAATGTCCCTGCGCCCAGAGAATGTTCTGGTGCCCAGAGAATGTCCCTGCACCCAGAGAATGTCCCTGCGCCCAGAGAATGTCCTTGTGCCCTGCCTGTGGTCAGGAGGCCACAACCTGGGCTACTTGCTTAGCTGGAGAGGTTGCAGACCATGGTGGAGTGCAGGATGGAGTGGAGCTCCTAGGGTTCTACATTTAAAATGAGGAGCAGTTTGAGGGATTACTGTAGAAAAACACTTGAGTTGAGTACTGAGAGGGGGGCTCTTGTCTGAGAGAATCAGTGTGTCTTCTGGATGATTTCCACTATGGTTTGGGCCATTTGGATTCTCTTCTTTCATATTCATATTGGGAAGGTTTTCAGTCCTGATGAAAGGCAATGTGCTCCCTGGATGGGACTGTGGGGACATTGTAGACACTAGTTAGGCCATGCCAGCATTTGTCTTCTAATAGTATTTGGGAAGAAGTATCTAGAAAATGCACTTTGAAGATGCTTGGGTGGCTCAGTCCGTTAAGTGTCTGCCTTCGGCTCAGGTCATGATCTTGGGGTCCTGGGTTTGAGCCCCGTGGCAGGCTCCGAGCTCAGCAGGGAGTCTGCTTAGGGATTCTCCCTCTCTCTCTCTGCCCCTCTCCCTGCTCATGTGCTCACTCTCTCTCCCTCAAATAAACAGAATCTTAAAAAAAAAAAAAAAAGGAAAGAAAATGCACTTTGGTGAAGGTCACTGAGTATTTAGGATTTTCTGGGCTGGTATATACATCATAAATTATAATCACCTAGGAGACAAAAAGGGAAACATTTTTGTATGACATAGTTCCCTCCTCCCATTCCTCCTATACAGGGATGAAATAAGTAGTATTTTTGCTCAGTCAGGTTTTGAATCTCAGTATTGCTCAATTGTTTTCCATCATGAAATATATAAATAATTGTTGAGTTTTAGTTGGTCAGGGGGACCCTTAGCACTTGGTGGCTCTTTCACTGGACTCCTTTTTAGAATCTCTTAGCAGAGCTAGACTCAAGTTTGCTGCTGATAAATTTGAGGACCTGGTTGGGTTCATTGATTTACATTTGTATTTGATTTGTATTTGCACTGGTACTTAAACTACAGATCTTTGATTCCTGTGTTGTCTTTGTCTCATTGTGTTTTCAAATGTGTGTTTTTCAATTTGGAGCACCCCCATTAATGTGGTTTTTGCATACTGTACCTTTTACATTTATAGGTGTATTTGTCAAACCTTGCATGAGAAGATCACAATCTTAGTGACTCATCAGTTGCAGTACCTAAAAGCTGCAAGTCAGATTCTGATATTGAAAGATGTAAGTAATTTCTAGAAGTCTGTGGAACTTGCTAGCACTCAGGTGTGTTGACAGTGAGACCTCCCAGCAAGTCTCCCCTTGGGTTTGTGCTAAATTCCCTCTGCTCCCTCAGTTTTGCATCCCGTTCTCCCCAGAGCTGGTACTCATGCCTTTGAGCATGAATCCAAAGACATGTAGAAATGTAACTATTGCATTCTGAGCCATATTACCCTAAAGTAGATAAAATTGCTACCTCATAATTATAAATGTTAACTGTTCTGGTAAAAATTGTTCAGGATAATGATGCTATTTTATTTAGAGCTTTTGTATTCCTCTTCCACGACGTACGGCAAAGTGTATTATTTGGAAATCAGAGCTACTAAGACCTGTTTGTGTCTTTTTGTCATCTGCAGTTTACTCAGAGAGCATCTTCCATTAATAACAGGCGTTGTTGGAAAGCGGAGCACCCTTGGTGGAGATGTGCTCTCCAGGGTATCGTTGGTTGCTCGTCTCCGAGCACAGGGCTTTGAGCATGTCCAGTACATGGGAGAGTCTGGGCAGCAATAAGTCAGACCAGTCCCTGCCATCATGGCGCTTCCATCCTTATGGGGGTAGATGTAAGGAAGGAGTTGGGTGGGGGGCAGCTGATCTCATGACTGCCTCCATGGGGAGGTGGTGCCTCAGGGGACCTGAGTGACATGAAGGTGCTGGCCAGGCGGTCACCTGGGGGAGAGGCGGCTGAGGCAGGTGGTCCAGCTGCAGGGTTCTAAGGAAGGACCTGACCTGGCATGCTGGAGGAAGTGTGTCTGAGGCAGAGGAAGCCGGGGAGTGTGAGGGAGAGGGGCTCAGAGCAGTGGGCTGCTGGCCCGGTAATGGGTTGGAAGCCATTGGACAGTCCAGAGCAGAGGAGTGATGTGGTCTGATGCATGGTTTTAAAAGATCTCTCTTATGTTTGCTGGAGGGCCAACAGCAGAAGCAATTAGAAGTCGGATGCATGGGCTCAGGCTGGTGTATCAGTTTCTAGAGCTGCCATCACAAAGTACCACAAAGTGGGGGGCTTCAACAGCAGAAGTTTATCATCTTCACCCTTCTGAAGGCTACCAGTCCAAAACCAAGGTGCCGGCAGGGTTGTGCTCTCCCTGAAGGCTCCTGGGGAGAATCCTTCATCGCCTCTCCCAGCTTCTGGTGTTTGCCAGTTGTCCTTGCTGGTCTTGGCTTGTAGCCGCGGCACTATGGTCCGTAGCTCTGTTGTCACATGGTGTTCACTGCATCTGGTCTCTCCTCTTACAAGGACGTCTGTCATATTGGCTTTGGGGTCCACCCTACTCCAGTATGACCTCAGCATCATCACATCTACAGAGATCCTATTTCTAAATTAGGTCCCATCCACAGGTATCCTATTTGGGCCTCGAATGTATCTTTTTTTTTTTTTTTTTTTTCGAATGTATCTTTTTGGGGGCCACAATTCAACCCCCAACAGCTAGCATGGGTTTGGGAGGTGGAGATTAGTGAGAATTTTCCGGCCTTAGTGATGGTTTGATGTTTCACTCCTTGGCGTATTTGCCTCAGAGCCTTAGCCCCTGGGTCATTAACCCTGGTCTGCTGCCTCAGGCCCTTGGTCACATCCTCATTTAATCAAATGAAGTTCTGCCCTAAGAAGGGTGACAAGAGTGCAGAATCTCTGCCTCTTTTGAAGCACTTCCCCATGTCGGTGCTTCTGCGGCCCTCTGGGAATAAAGAAGCTCTGATTCCCCAATCTGGAGAACAGGGGTGAAGCGAGTCTGGTAAAGCCCCAGTGTTGGCGGGATTAATGAGTACAGAACCAGTGGGTGGGAGAACAAGCTGGTCAGCCAGTCTCCTTATTGCTCTTGCTGAATACATCACTCCCAATTTTAGTGCTATCAGAGCAAACATTTGTCCACCAGTGAGCTCCCCTGGATGAGTTGGATCCATCCCTAGTGTTCGTGCGGTCCCTCTCGAGCAGCTGGGTGGGGATGGCTGTCCTCGCGTCCCCTCTGGAAGTTGTCTGTGCTGGGCTGCTGCATGAGCTTGCTGTCTCTCGACTCCTCGTCGTTTCCTTGTGCATCTGCATTTACTAAGTGGAAAGTGGTAATTTCATTAAATAAGGCATATGAATTTTGCCTCCCAGATGGAACAAGACACACTATATCATGAATAATTTTCTAATTCTCCAGTATCAGACTGGTTCCCCAAAGCTTCGTTGGGTTTTTCTCAGTGGCCCATGTCAGGGCACAGGATCGGAGGGTACCAGGGGGCTCCTGGGCCGCCTGCCTTCACCTGGCCTGCCTTCCCCAGAGCTGCCCTCCTCTGCTTTTTTTGGCACCCTGGGATTTCGCTTAATATGTTGTTTGCCACTGAGTAGAATAGCTGCCTATTCTTTTATGGGAGTGAGAAGCCAGTGAAGATACCTGCACTTTATTTTCTGTAACTTTGTAAGGAAGGGGAATGTGCAGTGATGTGTCACGTGGGTTTCAAGAAAATTATTTGATTTGCTCAAGCTTCAGGAGTTGCTTGATTTTGGAAAGCCTGCTTGGCTGCTTGTGATTGTGAAGCTTTATTTTCATGGATTTGAGTGCATTGACTCTGGCTTAGGGTTTGGTTTGCTTGTGTAGACGGACCCTCCCGAGACATTAGAGTCACCCCAGTCTGATGGTCGCCTAAGTTAATGACATTAGCAGGTGGAATATTGGGAATATTGGGAATATCCCAATTTGCAGTTGGGAACTTCCTGAGTTTATGGGCAGTTGGAGAGTAAAGACGACCTCCCCCGTGTCTAGTCCCAGTGCAGCACGTGACGGCAGGGCCGTGGGCAGCAGAGATTTGATGGATGACTCTGACCACGCAGGTGTCCGCATTGTGTCAAGCTTCATTCTTCCCTGGAATATCCTCCCCAGCTTGACCTTGTTCTTTTGAATATGTGACACTTGGCCTCAATTTCCATGTTGTCTAAAAAGACTATATTGAGACTCCTACCAACGTCTGTAATTTTTGCTTCTTTAAATGCCTGTGGTAGTTCGTGACCTCCATCCTTAACTCATGGCTACATAGCACCTCACACAGGATTTGACAGAGAACAGAATGCTCGATTCTGTGTCCAGTTGAGTTGCACTAGATGTGTCAACCAGAATTCCAGGCCTAAGGGTAATTTTCTTACGAATATGGTCATTTAAGACCAGTTAACTTTTTTTGATTAGTGTCAGAGTAGTGTTATCAGAGGCACATGAACTCGTATCAAATTCTTTTATTTTTATTTTAGGGCAAAATGGTGCAGAAGGGGACTTACACGGAGTTTCTGAAGTCCGGGGTAGATTTTGGCTCCCTTTTAAAGAAGGAAAACGAGGAGGCTGACGAGAGTCCAGCTCCAGGATCTCCCGCTCTGAGGACTCGGAGCTTCTCAGAGTCTTCTGTTTGGTCCCAGCAATCGTCCAGACCCTCGCTGAAAGATGGCGTGCTGGAGGTGCAAGCCGTGAGTTTTCCTCTTGCCGCATGCCCTGGTCCTGTCTTCTCTCAGTGTCCTCATGCATCTTCATTCTGCTCTGCACATGACCTCTTCATTGGTCCCATAGTGGATTCTAAGGTTCCAAGGCCTTGTTCCATGGACTTGGTAGAATTAAAACAGAATGAAGGGAGCAGGCCTGATCAGGGCTCTCCTTTGGGTGTTGGATGGAGAATGTCACGGGGCTGCAAGTTCAAGAATCACATCTCAACCATCTTTGAAACCACAGAGGCCCGCATACACCCAAGGACATCCTTGGCTTATGTGAATCTACAGTGCATTCTATGTTCTCCAGATAGATGTGCAGAAATGCTCTGCATCTCCCTTAAAAATATGCATAGGTAGTCTTCAATGTCCAAACCCTCACAATCCAAATCTAGGAGCCTGGATGATTCTGATAAGGATGGAGATGAGTCCCTCACAGTCCAGACTCGGGAATCACTCTCTGAAATTCAGGAACCAAAGATTTCAGACCACTTGCTATCCCCTGCTATCCCGACGCCCGTTACTCTTGCTCTTTGAACTGTTTACTCTATTTGGCTCATATTTTGAGCTCCTAACTATGTTTTGTGATTCCATCATTGAGTGACACAAATAATCTCGGTGATACATTAGCTCCATATTCTCTTGTCTATTATTGTGGAATAAGCTTTTGCATTTATATGTGAATTGGGTACATTGTGCATGTGCTGGAAATACAAGCAAAGCCACGCCGTAGTGAATAACCTTGTACAGACAATATTTCCTTTTTGCTAATAGATTCCTAGAAGTGGGATGGGTGGGTCTGATGATGAATACATAGATGGTTTGGCTAGATCCTTTTACACCACCCTTCTCCAGAGGAGCTGTACCATTTTGCACTCCTACCAGTGTAGAAGATGGGCCTCTTTGCTCATGGCTTTGCCAACGGAGCGCACTGTTGAACTTTTGAAGTTTTGGGTACATTATACAAAATTTTGTCTCTTACTGCTTCCCTTGTTTTTTCCTTTCCCTTCTCAGAACGAGAGTACACAGGTTGCTGTGTCAGAGGAGAGTCGTTCAGAAGGAAAAGTTGGTCTTAAGGCCTACAAGAATTACCTAATAGCCGGTGCTCACTGGTTGGCCATCGTGTTCCTCATTCTACTAAACATCATAGCGCAGGTAAATAAGGGCATTTATTTTGTTTTGTGGCCTCAGCTTGATGTTTACAGTACTGCTTTCCCTCTATGTATTTATTATTACCGTATTTTGCAGTCCACTTGGATTTGCATTGAAACGTGCTATCTTGGGGGACAGAGAAACTGAGGTTTAGTGGTGTTGCGTGTACATGACAGAGAGCTTCTAGAAAAAAAAAATGTTCTTTAAAGATTTTAACGTATCACCGAGATTATTTGTGTCACTCAACACACTTGATGTGTTGTGACTTGGGATGTTGGGCTTGGCATAGACCAGAGCTGGAAGAACCATGTCCGTTTTCCAGAGCCTTTCAACGGTCCGTTTGGGTGAGTGAGAGTGTCGAGGTGCGTGCTAAGTGATGTGTGATCTTTTTGCCTCCCTGTTCTAGGTTGCCTACATTCTTCAGGACTGGTGGCTCTCCTATTGGTGAGTTGTTTCCGGTCTGATGCAAGGGGCCACCAAGTCAACAGGCAGCCTCTTTCCCCCAGAGTCGGGTGGAGGTGGATTTGTTCAGCCTCCTGTCCTGATCCTCCCTTACTTTCCCCAAAGAGAAAGAAAAACTAAAGTTCTTGCTGGTGGAGTATGACCCTCCCACAGGCTCTCCCCATGTCGGATCCTCGGACAGTTTTGAGAACTGAAAGTTGAATTTTTATAAGGTAGATGTACCCGAGGCCCTGCGTGCTGGGAGTCCTTTTCCAGCATAAATCATGTTTCCCAAATTCAGGCTAATTTTATTTTTTCTTTTTGTACTTATCTAAATTCCATCTATAGTTGAAAAAAAAAAAATTTTTTTTTTTTCCATTTTCCACAGGGCAAATGAACAAAGTGCCCTGAATGTCACGGTAAATGGAAAAGAAAATGTCACTGAGAAGCTCGATCTTGCCTGGTACTTAGGAATTTATTCAGGTAAAATTTAATCATTCCGTTTATTATCTGGGAGTCTGAGGTGCTTACAATGAGCCTGTGTGAGTAACTAGGGCTTCCAGGAGTAATTCAGTAATGTCTTAACAGATTAAGAGTCTGAGTCGCATTTACTCTGTGAATTAATTAGAATAATTATTTTTAAAATCTACTAGAAGAGGTTGAATGAAGACTCTTAATTTGCTCTGTACTGGATTTTGGAAGTTAAACCAGGATTGAGCATTCAGAAAATCAGCCACTGGAAATTTGTGGCTATTGTCTATTCTAATAGGTTGCTTTAGCTAAATCTTATATCATTATTTGGATGGGCAAGGGGATTAGAAACGGATCCTCACCCTGTGGTTCGGATTGTTCCAATTCTGTCTGAATAAACCCCTGGCTTTTATTGAACTTGGATGAAATCCTCTGGCAGCAAGGTTCCCCCACGTAAAAGCATTATGCCCTCGCAGGTATGCAAAGCTCTCTTCCCCATACTGCTCATCTCTTGGGCTTCACTAATTACTTAAGAGAGAAGCTAAGCAGGAAAAAATCCAGTGTCTGGGAATTAGGATTCCTTCTCTTTCTTACCTTGAGATCACAATGTTATCGTGTCCCCAACTGTGTGATTAATTTAACATTTGGCTTGCCAGACTAATATTAACACAGTGCTCTGTTTTCACAAGAGTGCTTAGAATATATGTGGCATCACATAGTTTTTAAAGGAAAGCCTCATCTAAAATTTTAAGTATTCTCACTGGAAACGCTCATACAGGCTTTCTGCATAGATCAAGTGATCTTTGTGAAAACCTACTGAAATTTGGTATTTATTTCGTGGATCACTTGCTAAGAAACCTGAACACCTGAGCCGTTTACCTTCCACACTGGTGGGCCGTGAGAAGCCCAGAGGGAGGAAGGAGCAGTTTTACTGCACTTTAAAGGGGGATGGGGGGGGGGGCTCAGGAAAACGCCTGTGGACAGAGTTCAGGCATTTGAGCAGCTTTGAGAGTCTAAACAACAGTGAGGTGTCCTCTGAAGGGGAAAAATGCACTTGATGGGGTCTTTATCACAGAAGTTACCCCTAGTCTGTTTAGCATTGGGAGTTCAGGAGATAGGTATTGATTTATGTCCTTAATAAAAATCTATAATTTAAATGATTACATTCATTTAAAAATGCTTTGTGTTTTTGTATAAAACACTTGGGGTGAGAGGGATTAGTGGCTCATGGAGATTATTTCACGCAAACCCAGATTTAGTATTTTCTTGCAATTCAGTTGAGAGATTTTCTACTTGACAATTAATATGGTATTTTCATATTCTTTAAAAGCCACCCTGGGTATTTTCTACAAAGAAATGGTACATCATTTCCCTCCGCGCCCTGTTTAACTCACATGCCGGCGTCCGAGCATACCACGGTTTTAGATTGTGAGACGTGTAAATAGTAAAACTTGAAATACAGAGAAGGGAAGATCAACTAGTTTTTATAATTCTTTTTCTTCTGAGTTATTAATAGAACTTGTCATTGAATTAGGGAAGCCTAGCATGAAATTGTAGTTTACACCTGATTTTTTTTTTTTTTTTTTACATATAGTATCTCTTTAATGAGAGAAAAAGAAATTCTATTCTCCTTTATAAATGTATCTTACAAATGCATCGAACTCTTAAGAGAATCTATGGTGTTTTATGGAATAAAATACATAATATCTCTCTAACGTGCCCGACATGCTTTGGTATCGCTGAAGAAAGGACAAGTTCTCTGAGCGATGTTCCTTCTTTCAGGTTTAACTGTGGCTACTGTCCTTTTTGGCACAGCGAGATCTCTGTTTGTATTCTACGTCCTCGTTCATTCTTCACAAACTTTGCACAACAAGATGTTCGAGTCCATTCTGAGAGCTCCAGTGTTGTTCTTTGATAGAAACCCAATAGGTAAGTCAGACACCAAGTTTTCTCAGTCAGTCGGCCTTGTTGACACAGTTAAGTGTCCGATCACATTTCAGCATTTGGAAACGGAGGAGAGGCTTGGGAGAAATGGCTATGTGTTGATTCCTGTTCTACGAAAAGCTCCACTAATGGTTAGCTCCTACCAGACAAAATCTGACTATGGGGTGGGGGGCATAGAAGCTTCTATTCCGGTGTTTGTGTCTGTGGAAAATAAATGAGTGTTCACTTTGCACATAGATCTGTAACGGTAAGTTCTTGCCACGAGTGCACCTGGAGGTGCCTCCAGTCTGAGGCCTTTGACCTGTCTTGCTTCTGAAGGCAGCCCCCTGACCTGGGTTCCTAGGAAGAGTCAGTCCATCAACATCTGTTCCCACTGTTCAGGCTTTGTTTCGGCAGGAGATAATTGACAGGACTTGTCCAGGCAGGGAGGTGGGCTGGCTTGTTAACTAGCCGCGTGACCCAGGCCAAAGGGTGTCGATGCTGCCGGGCAGGCGAATCTCAAAGCAGGATGTTGTCGTGGTTAACAGCATGGACCGTGGATCCAGCTGCTTGGGTTCAGACCTGGTGCTAGCTACTAATTGTAATAGCTGGTTATGGTTCTGTTAATCCTCACGTGCTAGTTACTTAATTTCTCTGTGCCTCAATGTTCTTATCTGTGAAATGAGGATGCTGTATACTCCTCCCTTAGCAAGATATTGGGGGAATAAGGGGTGCCTGGGTGGCTCAGTCGGTTAAGCGTCTTCCTTCAGCTCAGGTCATGATCTCAGAGTCCTGGGATCGAGCCCCACATCGGGCTCCCTGCTCAGCGGGGAGTCTGCTTCTCTCTCTCATTCTCTGACAAATAAATAAAATCTTAAACAAAAAAAAAGATATTGTGGGAATAAAGCAGATCGGTACATTCACGGGGCTCAGAACAGCACGCAGCGCCTGGTCAGCACCTATGGTTTCTTAGCCACAGTGGGTTGGAACTTCCTCACCTGGGAACTGGAAAGAAGAGCTGCCCTACGTGCTTCACAAGGCTGTCATGAGGGTTAAATAAGACTGTTCAGGAAAGCATTTTGTGCATTTCATTCCACATGTTTGTTTAACTCAGGCCCTGTGCAGAGCACAGGAATGGTGACCTGCAGAGGCCCCCACGAGTCTGCAGTCTTGTTGCAGCTGTGGTCAGAAAGGGATTGGGGGCCCTATGTATCTGATGGCCAGGAAGTCGCTCCACTTTGCCAGTTAATTTGAAAGCTACAGTCATAAAGTTTGGAGCAGTAAGTGGGACTGCATTTCTGTTATCACAGCCTCTGAACGCTTGTGGCCACAGTTAACCAGGCTCTTCCTGTTCAAGACCTGTAGGCTTCTCCACATGCTGATTTATTTATTATTCAAGGATTTGGGACGAGTCTAAATCTTCAGGGTCGCTAATCTTAGAGTAGCCCACTACTGTTTATCTTGCCTCCCCCCTCCCATGTCTGTTAGCCGGGCTTTCTTCCTTCAAGAAAATAGAAGCCCAAGTAAGGACACCAGAGATAGGCCTAGGTTGCTCAGAATGTTTAGGGGCCCTGAATTATTTACTCTTTTTGGTGGTAGATTAAAAAAATATATTTTTTTTAATTAAAAATATTTTACGTGGTAGATTTTACCATTTGGTTAAAATTTTTGTAGTTTTTAAACCACTGGGAAGAATAAGCAAAAGCCTTGAATTATGGTTCCTAGTAGACATCATTGATTGTATGTACTTTAATGGTTATACGATATTAAAAAACAACTCCCCGCTAGAGCTGAGGGGCGGATACGCTCAATTGTTAAGTTCTGTTAAATAGCCACATGAAGTGGATACAAGTGCTCGGTGTGATGTCGCGCCCCCTGAGTTACAGAGGGTCCTCTGAGCAGCTTGGAGAGATGAGGAAGCACATCGTTCTCTTCTCAGTAATTTGTCATTCAGAGTACCCTCTCCGGGAGAAGTCAGTCCATTTCCTATGATCCTGACACCGTCCTGGAGTTTGGAAAAGAGAGGGTACAGGGGATAGTTTCCAGCCAGCGAGACTTGGGGTGGTGACTGGGGCGGCCGGCACCATAGCCTCGTGTGGATTTGCAGGTGTCCTGCTAGTGTTCCCTTCCATGGTCACCTTCAGTTCCCACTGTTGCCGGAATATTCTCGGTGACCCTGATCCGGATTGTGGAAATGTCTTTTTACATTTGTTCAAGGGTGCTCCCACCCCCGATGTGCTGCCTCCCTCCCATGCCTCTCCCATCTTGTTCATCAGTGGGAGATCCTTCGAGTTTATGCAGAGAACTGAGCCTTCAGTGAAGGGTCCCGAAACTCTGGCTGCCCCATCAACATCCCAGGCTCACTGACTTGGATTTAGGGAGAAGGACAAGGTGAACCTGCACAGTGCACGTTTCTGCTCGGTAGCCACGTCTCTCTAACCACACCCCAGAGCTCTGATTTTTCACAAGGTTCCATCTCTCCAAGCTCCACGACTTCAGTTTCTCTCCATTTTGGACCTATGTGTGGTTGCATGAAGTTTACGTAGCTTTTTTGCTTCTGTAATGCACCATCTTACTACCCTCTGATTTTTCATAAACCAATCAATCTTCAGCTGTTTGGGAAAATCTGAATCAGCTAGTGTGTCATCTCAGAACGGCAAAAGCTAGTTTTCTTCTTTTTCCCTTCCTTCCGCTATTTTTACCCTTCCCTCCTCTGTGGATTTTGGGAATGGTATTGTGTATAGCCACACATTTTCAGCTGTCCCAGCATTTTGCACACATTCTGCTTGCACCTTGCGTTGAGGAGTGCCTTTGTGGACGTGGTCTGCTGTGTGCGGCACCTGCCTCTTCCCTGATCAACATTTGTCTTCCACCATCTCCGTTCTGTCAGATCTTAATACATAGGTAACACAAATGCCAGGTCAAAAGGAAATCATTCAGAAATTAAGAGAGAATTTCTGTATTCCCTGTAAACCATGTTTTCCTTGGATGGGGTGAATTCATTTTATTTTTTTATGTCTGGCACAAGAGGGCAGCATGATCTACATTATTTCAGGAATATAATGTAAGGGCACCTTATTGCAAAAACCTGTTTTATTTTATGTTACTTTTTTTTTAATTTAAAGCTTAGAAATTCCATTTTTTATAGCTAGAGTCTGTATTTTGTACTGTTGATACAGAGTTTTAAAACCGCTGTTGTAATTTATTATGTTTGAGACATTGAACTCTTGAATAATGAATTACAGTGTTGTCCCAGAATATCTGGCATGTCAAACAAGGTCTCTTGGATTTCTTAACTGATAACTTCTCGCCTAGTGACTGGAAGAGGCAGCCACTGACCTCTTGACTAGATATATATTCAGATTCCTTAAGGGTAGAATATGGTGGCTCGTATGACATGAGTTTAGGGAGAAATAGGACCAGACAGTTTCTTCAGTTTTCTTCCACGCCAGCAGAGTCCGTAGAGACGTTCTAGTCTTGTCAAGTCTCTAGAATTTCACCCTTCATTTTGGAGACAAGATGCATGGAGAGTTGTCCTGGTTCTTCATGCCTAGAAATGGTGACATAACACTTGGCTGAATGCATCGACCGCAGTGGATTCCATATAAATATTTGTTTGCTTCCCGTTTGTTAATTTGGCTTTAAGAAAGTGAGCCGCTGGGGTCGGTAGATGTTGGTGTTTGTTTATTCTCTCAGGGAAGTGCAGAGTTAATATTGGGTTGTGGACAGTGTGCTCATTTTATTTTATTTTTTTAAAGATTTTTATTTATTTGTCATAGAGAGAGAGAGAGAGCACAAGCAGGGGGAGCAGCAGAGGGAGAGGGAGAAGCAGGCTCCTCACTGAGCAAGGAGCCCGATGGGGGACTCGATCCCAGAACCCTGGGATTATGACATGAGCCGAAGGCAGACGCTTAACGACTGGTCCACCCAGGCGTCCCCAGTGTGCTCATTTTACATGACTGGTTTTTCTGCAGCGGCGTGTGTGTTCCTTTATGGGTCCAGTCTCAGAAGAGTACAAACATATATCCTTTTTTTCCCCCCTTACAGATTAAGTTAGGGCTAAAGTAGTACAAAAGGAGAAAAATAAATGTAGTAACTTTTTCTTTGGTCAATTTTATTCTCCTGGTGGGAAGTGCTTGCACCCAGGAATGTATGGAACATGAATAGTGGCATAGTGAATAGTGAGAGACCTATTTGTGTGTCCTCCTAATCCAAAATCTAGGTTGCCCAAAGGATTAAGATTTCTAATTTGAGCGGGAAATGAGGCTCTGGAGATGCTTTCACAAATCTAAGCTATCCTGAATTTTGAGATATGCATGGGTGGGAGTTGAGCGTTGGGGAGAGGCGGGTGATGGAGGTTTGAACGATTGTTTTGTTTCTTGAAACTGGAAAGGGACACGTTAGCATCCACTATAAGCTGCTAATAAACAACTCGAGGCAAAGTGAAAAGTGAACTGAAAGCAGCGCGGTGAGCTAATACTATCAGAAAAACTGTCTTGCTGGAGTCTTTATAAAATCAGTTGTCAACATTCTTGCTTGAAGAGTCCTCGGTAGAGAAGCCAGATAATTGTAGGGATATCTCTCTGTTTATTCCGTTCAAATGACCACTGGAGTTAGTGCTAAGTGCATATTTTTAACAAGTATAATATTTCAGCACTGTCAAAATTACGTTGACGATAATAGGCCTGTTAAATTATAGCTCTATAAGTTAGGAGGGAAGATGGCTGTGCTTAGCACACATTAATCTATGCCTGTTCACACAAGTGATTCTGCTGCGCAGGTAGCATGTTAGAACAAGAAATACTGGTCCCAAAACCTCTGATTTATGGTAGGTGTTGTTTTGACACAGCATCGAGACGATTTACAAGGCAAGGCTTCGTGTTAAAATATTTCATTGGTGTCATCATTCGTCACCGACATAAATATTCAGTAGTGATGCTGGAAAATTGGTAATGTGCCCATTCATGCCAAATCACTGGCTGTGTTTCCTTTCAGGTGAGATCTGT